TTAGAGCAAATAGCAGTGATAAAGCCTCTGGCCCGCGCGCAACGGGAAGGCTCGAAAGGCCAATCAGGAATAACGATGTCTTCGACCAACTTCCTACGGAAAGGCTCATTAGAGCAAACAGCAGTAATAAAGTCTCTAGCTCGCACACAACGGGAATGCTCGTGAATTGTCGACCAGCTAGAGTCATGTGTTTGGCCCGACCGCGGGGAGATACCTCAATTAGGAAATTTGTAGTAACGATGTCTCTGGCCCGCCTGCAGCGGGAAGGTACAAATAGCCAATCAGGAATGGCGATGTCTTTGACCAGCTTCCAGCGGAAAGGCTCGTTAAAGCAAATAGCAGTGATAAAGCCTCTGGCCCGCGCGCAGCGGGAAGGCTCGAAAGGCCAATCAGGAATAACGATGTCTTCGACCAACTTCCTGCGGAAAGGCTCSTTAGAGCAAACAGCAGTAATAAAGTCTCTGGCTCGCACACAGMGGGAATGCTCGTGTAGCCAATCAGATGTTCTCCTTTCCACTGCGCTCCTCCGCTCTCTCGCTCATGCCTTCTCCTCACCTTCGCTCACGCCTTCCCGTACTCACTTCCTCTCCCACTGCACTCTCTCCTCCCCCGCAAAGTCTCTCTCTCCCTTTGCTCAGCCTCACTCTTTCTCCCGGTGTTTGACCAGTCTAACTAAGGTAGTAGCTGGGAACGCCTTGCACACACTATCTGTCTCCCCCTGCCATTACTCACGCGCAGTGACTGCCCGAACACGGACGCCTCAGTCTTGCTTGCAAACGCGTCTCTCCTGTCCTTACTCCGCGGGGACACCTTGCACTCCTCCCTCTGCCGCCAGCACTACGCCGACCGTGCACGCTTCTCTCTGTTGCATGCGCTGCGCCCTCCGTGCAAGCTTCTCCTGCATTGACTCCGCCTGCATCCGTACTGTGACGCGGGCTGGGTACACCGTGCATACTGTCCCTGCTCTCTAGTCCCCTTTCCCTTTATGGTTTTCCCGCACAGCTGAACGTGGTCTTTCCTCCTCCCAGGTCCAATCCGTAGGCCTTCGTAGGCTGAAGGTAAAAGCAGGGCCAGGCCCAACACTGGTGCAGTGGAACCCATATACAGTCTCAGCGGGACCTGCAACTGAAACCTGCTTGTAAAAAGAAAGCCAGATACTTCCGTATGGCAGGTACCCGTACCAAACTTGTCACTTTTACGCTCCAAAGCCAACCACAGTACTGAAAAGCAATTGTATTGTACCAGTTACCAACACAAAAGCCGAACCGCAGTCCAGCTGTTGCTCCCAACACCCAGTTACCATGCTTATTCCGTATCTGTCCCGGAGCAGAGTGTCGGGCCGAACCGGAAATAGCCACTTGACAATTCTGAGCTTCCAACACCGAACCTGAAAGTGATGTAGTGATGTGTATCATACCGATGCCGGATACCGTAGAAAACTGAAAAGCCAGGGTAGTACCGAACCTATTCCGGACCTGAAACAACCATCCCTGAGCCTGTAAAAAAAATAGACGCGTATACCACTTCGGCGCCGAGCCAATGCCGTATCAATACCGAACCCGATAAATATCTGCGGCGTGTACCTCAACGATGCTAAACCAATGCCGAACACGAGACAACCGTACCATGCCGATGCCGAACCAATACCGAGCCAACACCGAACATGTCAAATGCCGCACAATACCGTGATCCCAAAGCTGAAATAAAGCGCCATAGTGGCACCAAGCGTGGAATAAATAGCCGCAGTGACGGTGTCGAGCCTGGGTTAAATATCCGTGATAACGCCGAACCTGGGATAAACTGCCACCAACGTCTCTTACCTGGAATAACTGTCGTATGGGTTAAATATCCGTGATAACGCCGAACCTGGGATAAACTGCCGCCAACGTTTCTTACCTGGAATAACTGTCGTAGTAGCCCCGGCCCTGAGAATAAATCACCGTACCTGTCCCAAACCTGAAAATAAGTCACCGTAGTGAAACAACTGTCACCAGCCAGACACCGTAGTACGAAGCCACTCCGTAACAACCCTCGTATCTGTACTGAACCAAACACCATAGTCGACCCAAGGTAGCACCACCCCATGCTGTCCATGCGATCGTCCTCGGACTGTCACAGTGAAGTTAGTAAATAGGTGGATCGGAAAAGTGGCACGAAAAACCTTGATCATCAGGGATTGGCGAAAAAGGTGGGGATCCAGAGAAGACTGATTAATCGGGGTTCAGAGCCGACGGTGGGAAATCCAAGGGAAATCAGGCCAAGCATCGAATAATCATCGGTTCTTGTTCGTTCCATCATTTTTAATCATCCCCCCATTTTCTTAACTCTATTACCCAAAATAGTAAAAAAACCGTAAACTTACCAAAAATAAATTCCGAGAAAGTCTTCATTAAATTGTTGAAATTCTTTGTTCCTTTTCTCCTTTATCATTTTTAATCTTTTCCTTTATTTTCGATTCCATTGCCGGAAAACATATAAATAACGGAGTATTTTCCCCAAAACTCAAATGCTGCGAAAACAAGGAAATTAAGGAATATTACGTTTTTCTCTTTCCTCCTACTCTTCTCAATCTCTTCTCATATCTTTGATTTAGATACCAAAAATGACAAAAATTTGAGGCGCTATTTTGACCCCGATCATACGCTGCAAAGAACGTCGCAGCGGAGTTAGTCCCCGCGATGCCCCCTCGCGGCAGGCCAATTCGGGTCTAACCCTCTGAACGGCCGGAAATGACGGTCCGTTGATGTGCCGAGTGCGACCACCCATCTTGCCATTTTTTAGGGTTACCCATAAGGTCCATCGCGCCCAAAATCAAGGGCGCTCTGAGGTCCCCTAATCTTCGCCGCCTGGTCTAACCAGAGTACCGTCAAAATTCAGACTCGTCTTCGCGCCTAAGTCCCAAAACCGTAGATTTCAGGCGGCGCACTGCTTGTGGCCGCCTGACACCGTGCTGCATCTCCTCGTCATCTGGCATCGTGCGGTCTCGAAACTCGGGGTCCAACATCATGGCAGCAACAGTAGCAGGCGTTTTGAACATGGTGCGGCGTCTTTCAAACACTTCAAGCAGCGCGTCCTGCTCGTCCTTCTCCAAAGAGGCACATGCAGACAAACAACGCGCGATCATCTCGTCGTACCGACGCAGAATCTTGCCAATCTGCCTCGTGTCGCTGTCCACCATCTGCAGCATGTCATGATGGGATCCAACAACTTGCACAGCGCTCTCATATCCTCCCACCATTGAGGACAACCGACACATGCTGTGACCTCCGCGGCGTCGTCTCGAATCTTCTTCGTTGACCAAACAGTGTCCTTCCATCGATCRTCAACGACCACYTGCATAAGATRMGATTGCAGCAGAARAAGTCGTCGCATCATAATCACATGCGTACCGAAGCGAGTCTCGGCGGGAAGCAACAGAGCCTTCGTCGTGAAAGCTTGCAAAACTTCGCGAGCGTGGCTATGACGCTTGAAAAACTTTGTGACCAAACGTGCCTGAGCAATGCGGGTCGCCACCCAGTCAATGTCGTCGATGTCCTCAAGGATGAGGTCCATGACGTGTGCCACACAAGGAATCCAGAAGATGTGCTTGACACTCTCATCCTTCTGGAACACCTCTATCGCAGAAACGTTCGAACTGGCAGTGTCTGTGACGAAAGCGGTGATGTCGGCGAGCTTGATGTCAAGGGACTTCAACCTTCGCAGCCAAGCCTGCGCCAGAGCAGTGGCATCCTTCTTTCCTCGCATAACATCTGTCGCGACGTATGTGGCGCCCCGTGTAGTGCCAACGAGATAGTTGCACAACGTTTGACCCCGAATGTTGGTCCAACCGTCTGTCATTATCGTGCAACCGTAGGTAGCTGCGGTATCGAGGACAAGTTTCACACACTTTTGGACTCTCACATCAAGCTCATCCAAAAGTGTGGTACGGATCATGTGATACGTTGGGGGTTTCGAGGTGGGGACTCCTGGAACCCCAGGCGGGATGATCAACGTCAACATGCGTTTGAAGCTCTCAAGCTTCACACAGTTGAACGGCATGCCGCTCTCGACAATGAATCGCATGATCTGCAGGTGCCATGCGTGCTCCAGCRGGTCGTTGTAATACGAGGTCACCGCCTGCTGCCTGTAAGTGCCCCTCACTCGTGCACCGGCGCCCATACCTAGCGAATCCCACACCCCGCCCCCGGCCGTAGGTGATGCGGTGGGGCCTGGACTCGGAGCYGCAATGTTGCGCAGATTCTGTAAAGGATCCAGTGTCTCAAAAACACCGTGCTGCGAGGTCGGGCCRTTCACGGGCACAGGAGTGGGTGACGAATCCGAAACCTGGACGGGCTCGTCGAGCTGGACGTTTCTCGCACCCTCAGTGGCCGTTGCATCGGCCTCACCAACAGGTGCTGAAGTCAAGCCTGGTGTAGGCCGTCGTGTTTGCGAAGGAGGGGGAGGCAACCATGGATACGCAGCGGATTGATGTCCTGTTGCGGGTGCTCCTGCCACGGCCGGACGTGTGTCTGTGCGTCGAACTCTTGGGACCTTGTCCCTGTTGCCAGTGAACAACGGGGCGAGGCCTGATGATGTGTCTGCGTCCTTCCCCCACCCACCGCCCTCGACGAAAGCACGAGTGCCTTGCTCGTCGAACGACACAGGTTCCTCGACACCTGAAACTGGCACGGTGCCTTGCGCATCAGGCTGCGTTGCCACAGATGGTCTGCCATCAACGGATGTGTGAATCGTCTGACGAAGCGGACGAGGGGGGAGGGGAGCAAGTGGTGCACATGGAGACGGCGCCACTTGCGAGGCGGCAGCGGTCGACGGGGGCGGCGGAACGACGTCATCGGGAAAACGAAGAGGTGGCCATTGAAAAGAGGGATGACCTAGAGGGAGACTCTGCAAGGCCTGCACGGCAGAAGCCAAATGTGCAGGACACTTGGACATATCCTTTGACCAAATCGCGTGCCACACCGCCGGAGTGGCTACTTGGCATTTATACCCCTCGCCACGAAAAAGTGTTCCTTCGCCTCACGAGCACCCCCACATAGAGAACGACCGCATAACCTGCACAAATAACGACGACCGTTCTTCCTCCCGATCGAAGTGGATCCATCTAAATAACGACCACGAGCAACGAAATGCCAAACAGGATCATCTCGTTTTCCATCCGCCTTTGGATCCACCTTAAAA